TTCCTCGAGTTTTCTTCCTTCTCTGTTCTGTGGAGGGATCCAAACCTTCCAGTGTTTGTTGATGGCTTTCTTGTTGTGCTGGGATAGTCAGTCTAGATTGTCACAGGCGGGGGCCAGGAAGTAAATGTGTGTCGACTTGTGTATCCCTTCATGTTAGTTTAACTTCATCTCTGATAGTTTAGCTGACAAACAAATTCTGTATTGGAAAGTTTTTACCATCCAGTTTGGAGGCTTTGACCTTCCTTCCAAGCCAGGGTAGCCCCTGAGCCATCTGATGGTGGTTTTATTCTCAGTGTGGTGGTTTGTATGAGAGTGGCCCCTGTTGGCTCACATATTTGAATGCTTGGTTCCTGGTTGGTGGAGTGTTTGGGAAGAATTAGAAAGTGTGGCTTTCATGGAGGAAGTGTGTCACTGAGCGTGGGCTTTGAGGTTTCAAAAGCCCAGGCCAAGCTCTCTTTGTACTTCCTGCCTGTGGATCAGGATGTAATATCTCAGCTATTGCTCCAGCCCCATGCCTACCTGCCTGCCTCCCTGCTCCCTGCTGTGGTGATCATGGACTCACCTCTGAATCTGTAGGCCAGCCCCCAGATAAATGCTTTCTCTTACACATCGTCTTGGTCGTGGTGTCTCTTCACACCAATAGACAGTGACTGAGACACCAACCCTTTGTAGATAACCTGTATGTTTTGTTTTTTTCTTTGTCTCTCAAGCAGAATGTTGAGCTTTTCTTGGTGCAGAATGATGTGAAACTTTGTGGAGTTCTGCTGTGATGAGGGATTTTTAACTGTTTTCCTCCATTTTCCTGAATACTTGCCCATGTTTTAAAGACTTGGATATTTCATTTGGGGATTTTTTTTTTTATTGAACAATTCCTGTGATGCTTTCCTCCAATCTATTTCTTTCCAGATTTCCTCTTAGTCTGGGAGCAAACAGATCCTCTGATTTTCCATTTTATTCATTCCTGCTTTGGGTTTTATTTTCTGAGATTTCTAAAACTATTGCAATCTTGCTTCCAGAAGTTCTGTTTTGTTCTTTAATGCTTTTTTAAAATAGATTCCTGTTCTTGCATTAAGAAATGTTTATCTCAACTTTTAACTCTAAAAATATCAATAGATGGGATTTTTTTCTTTCTCTGGATTTCCTTAGTCCTCCCTTTACTCCCTCTTTGGTTCCCTAGGCTTTTGTTTTATTTTGGTGATGTTGTTGGAGACAGGACCATGCTATACAGCACCAGTTGGCCTGATACTCATGTATATAGTCCAGTCTGGCCTGTGGGTCACAGCAATCCTCGGCTTCATCCTCTCAAGCGTGGGATCACAGGAATGCACCACCGTGCCTGCCTCATGTTTTGGTTTTGATTCCAAGCATCCCTCAAATTCACAACGCTCCTTGGCCAGCTTTCTTATTAACAGGGTTGCATCTACCGAGGCTGTGCTATTAGATTCCTATGACCCCAGCACTCAGAAAGCTATGTAGGAGGATCACAAGTTCAAGAGCAGCCTGGGCTACATGACTAGACCCTGATGGACAGAGAACAGGCTAGATCTTCATGAGCTGTGAATCTGACCGACTTCCAGGAACTCAGCAAAGGCAGAAGTGGGAGGTGCCGACCTTTCCATGGAAATTCTGCTTTCCAGCCTCAGGCTGCACCATCTCCCTCATGTTCACCTCCTGAGAAAAAGCGTCCAGTCCACCTCAGTAGCAGGCAATTCCGCACTGAGTGGGTGTGAAGTTGGGTCTAGAAGGCCCAGCTGCTTCCTGAGGAGAATGGAACAGGCCTTTGTGCCCCGCCTGCCCCTTCTCCCACAGCCCACCCTCTGGAGTCCTGAGCATCTCTAAGCCCCAAACTGTTCGGGGTTGTACAGAGCAGCTTGTATTTATCCTACGGGCTTCATGTCTTTGAAAAATCCTCTGTCATGCTGAAGGAGCTTCAGGAAGGATGGGGTAAATGCATGTTTAGTCAAGAGTCCTCGTGTTTTTCACACAAAAGCACATGTTTACAATTTAAGTTTTTAATTGTGTGTGTGTGTACACGTGTGTGTGTGTACGTGCATGTGTATGGGTTGGCGCAAGTGGAGGTGTCTAATTGAGCCTAAAGCTCATAGATTCGGCCAGACTGACTGGCCAGGGAGCCTCGGTCTCCACTTACCTAGTGCTGGGGTTAGAAGCACAGACACGTGCTGCCACACCTGGCTTTTTACATGTGTGCCAAGGATCTGAACTCAGACTCTCATGTTTGCATGGCAAACCCTTCACAGATCAGCCATCTCCTCAGCACTAAGTCATGTGCGATTTATGTGTACATCTGAGTCCCAGAGCCCGTGGTTCCCCATACTAGCATCAGCTGGGAACGTTAGAAGTTCCAGTCCTTGAGTCCTCAGTCCTACTGAACCAGACACTGTGAGGACAGCCCAGGGACCTCTGGAGCAAGACCTTCAGGTAGATCTGATGGTAGCCAGAGTGTGACAGCCATTGCCACTGGTGATCGAAGGATTCTGAGCATTGCAGAAACATCACCTCACTTCCAACCTCAGCTCTTCAAATCTAAACCCAACAAGGGGGGCAGCAGAACAAAGGGGCTGTCTTGAGACACCCAGTTCCATCAGGCTCTGCCCTGCTGAGAAAACGCCTGTGAATCAGATGTCTTCTCTTCCACGGTAAGGAGGCCAGGAACACAGCTATGCCAGCCGTGGTGTGAAAGGAAAAGCGGACTGGAAGTCGGGAGGTACAGGAAGAGGACAATGACAGAGACCTGTGCCTCTTCCACATCTCCCAACACCCACAGGTTGGGAAAGGAACCTCCAGCCTCCATAGGATGGAGGCCTCGCTGAACGGGAGCCTCGTTCCTCACCTGACATTGTCCTCTGCCCACTCACGAGCTGCTGCTGCCACACAACCCTCCTCTCTCTTTCTCTCCCCTCCCCTCCCCCACCTCTCTCCCCACCCTACCCGGTCCACTTATGTAACTCTTCAGTGTGTGTCCTAGCTCCTTACCACCCCCTTCTCCTTCACCTTGGCTATGGTCTTTGTATGTGTTTCCTTGGAACAACCACAGGGATTCAGTCCTCACCCCTGGCAGAGGAAGCACCTGGTCCCTCCATGGCACAGTTAATGTCTCTCCACCTCCTCCCCAGGTATGCCTTCACTGTCATTTACACCTTCGAAGCTCTGATCAAGATACTGGCGAGAGGATTTTGTCTAAATGAGTTCACTTATCTGCGAGACCCCTGGAACTGGCTGGATTTCAGTGTCATTACCCTGGCGTGAGTCTTCCCTCTCTCTAGCTGTGTGTCCCTGTAGGCTTTGGGGTGTAGGATTTTGGGGGTGTCCATGCTCATAATCTGGATTACTTCCTCATCTCCATCCAGTTTCCTCTGGTGGAGCCTTGTGGCTTGGGTATTGGAATACATAACAGCTCGTTCCATGCCCATGGGGACAAACCAAAGTTCTGTGTTAATAACTGGCCAATGCATGTCAGGTGAGGCTCAGCGCTATTCCTACCGAACAGTATCTGAGGAGGCAGGTTCATCAAGCCTGTGTGTTTGAAATCCAACTGTGCATCTCTTGAAACGGTACTTTCTGAAAAAGAATGTGATGGTTTACTGGGCATCCATGCCCATCCGTAGATGGCAATGCCACTGGATATGCCTCCCTGTGACTACCATTGTGTGTGCTGTGTGCACCCTGAAACCCTTGCCCTGAGAAAATGCTGAGTGCCTTTCGGTTCTACAGGTATGTTGGTGCAGCGATAGACCTCCGAGGAATCTCAGGCCTCCGGACATTTCGAGTTCTCAGAGCCCTGAAAACTGTTTCTGTGATCCCAGGTGAGTGACTTCAGCCAGCGCGCTTGTCAACAGAACAAACGTTCATTTCTACTGCTCTTCTTTGATTTTCTCTCTCTCTCTCTCTCTCTCTCTCTCTCTCTCTCTCTCTCTCTCTCTCTCTCTTTCTCTCCCTCCCTCCCTCCCTCTCTCTCCAGGACAGGGACTACTGACTATTGACCTAGCTAATGAAGAAACTGAGGCTTTAGGCATAGGAGAAACAAGATAAGTGTCCATCCCTAGTAAGATGCAAAGGAAGGTCGCTTCCTTCAAAGCTGTGAAGTCACCCTTAGTTGTCAGACAACCTGCCACACATGCCATCATACGCATCACTCAGCTCTCAGTACAGGGTCTCCCGTGTGTGGTGCCAAGAAAATCAATTTTCCACCAAAATGACACTGATGGTCCTAGACTGTGGGTCAGAATGCTCTCTACTGTCTGTGACACTGCTCCCCCATGGAAGGCAATTTCATTAACAGACCATCCCTCCTCAAAGGAGCGGGGGCTCCTTCTTTGCAGCCAGATGTGCTTGACTCTAATCTAATCTTCCTCAGGATTTTCCAGTTCCTGCTTCAGTGGTCTGTGTCTTTCATAACCTCACTCTGTCACTAAGTCCATCTCTGTCTTTGAGTTTCTGTCTTTCACGTTGTCTCACCCTCCACCTCCCATACATATTCTCTCTCTTTCTCTCTCTCTCTCTCTCTCTCTCTCTCTCTCTCTCTCTCTCTCTCTCTCTCTCTCTCTCTCTCTCTCTCGGTGAAATTCATTCATCTCAAGTCTCAAGCTGCTGAGATGAATGTAGAAAGACAAACACCACATGATTAGAGCGGAAAGATCAACCTCACGGCTAGAACAGCAGGGGATATGGCTGGGACTCCACGTAAATTTCTCAGTGCTGAGGATAAAACTCAGGGTCTTGAGTGTGCTAGGCAAGTGCTCTACCACTGAGCTACATACATCTTCAGGCACCCCAAAGGGGGTTTTAGTGGAGTCATTGATTAGCCTTAAGATTGTAAGAGCTGCACTGTGGGGCCTCGGCTGCTTGCTCTTATAATGAAGATAACAGGCCCACCTACTCGCCTCTCTGGGCAATTGCAGAAGAGAAGCTGAGCGTGGAGCTGCCCGGAGTATGTAGGTGCATCACACCTGTGTGTAATGAGGATAGCCATGGTGCATACCTGTGCTCTGTGTGGCACTTCACCCATATGGGAGCATCTCTGTCACCTTCCCACAGGACTGAAGGTCATTGTGGGAGCCCTGATCCACTCGGTGAGAAAGCTGGCTGACGTGACCATCCTCACTGTCTTCTGCCTGAGTGTCTTTGCCTTGGTGGGCCTGCAGCTCTTCAAAGGGAACCTTAAGAACAAATGTATCAAGAGGAGCACAGATCCCCACAATGCCCATAATTTCTCATCTCAAATGGCAGGTGAGCAGACACTCTGTTGTAGACTAGCATGGGTACCCCAGGACTGGGTGGCCAAAAGCCCTGCACGACTGTGTGGGTATACTGGCATTTCATTTCCAATGAATCGCTCCTGAGTGGGGTTGCACTCCCCTCCCTCACTTTCCTGCTGACCAGTTTCCCTTAGGCAAAAGAAACCTTTGACAAGTTCTCCACCTAAAAGCAAGATTTCCTGGCTCCCACAGCCTCCAAGTAGCTTGGAAGGGTGTGTGGCTCCCTGAATGTCCCTGGAAGGCTTGTAGGCAAAGGGACTGACCTCACTTAGACAGGAAGTGTCTTCTCTGACACCCAAGGCCTAGGTTAGCAACTTGAGAACACACCATGAGGCTTTGTTTCTTCCTTTCTTTAGAAAATGTTTACATCAAGAATGGCACTACTGAGCCTTTATTATGTGGCAATGGATCTGATGCTGGGTAAGTACTCATCGCCTGACTGCACCAATGTCCAACATCCTTTCTCCACTGTGTCCATCTCATCCTCTGTGCAGAGAGAGTAGAATCCCGAAGTTAATGGATTAATGAGTACCATAGACACTACCATCTTAAAACTCATGAGGCGGGGAGCAGCCAATAGGGTTCAACTGGTAAGATGCTTGCTGTGCAAGGCTGAGGACCTGAGCGTGAACCCCCAGCACCCACATAAAAAGTTGGGCACATCAGTGCAGACCTGTAGATGAAGCACTGCAGGGCCTTGGGGCAGAGATCTGGAGAGAGGCAGGTCCACTGAGCTTGCTAGACAACCATTTTACTCAACCAATGGGCTTCAAGCTCAGTGAGAGACACTATCTCAAAGAATAAAGAGGAGAGGGACTGAGAAAGATGCCTGATGTTCAACACTGTCCTCCACATACACGTGCTCACGTAACATCTGAGCCTGAGCGTCACACACACACACACACACACACACACACACACACACACACACACACACACACACACACAGCCTCACAGAGAGTAAGTGTATTAGTCAGGTTTTGATGTGTAATAAATGACTCCAGGATTTTATGACTTAACACAACAACCATTTAGCTTGTGGCTCAGTGCTCAAGAGCATGGACAAGCTGGTGTTTGGCTTCTCCCTCAGGCATCTGCAAGCAGCAGATGGATTTGCTGCAAGGTGTCTTCTGTGTGTTCCCTTGATCTTTTATTCCCAGAAGTCTGGCTTGAGCTGTCCTTGTGCAGACACCGGATTTTAAGGAAAATAGTAGAAGTCTTGATTTCACACACAGTGACGTTCTTTCTGCACCCCCTTCAACAAAGCAAGTCACAAGATCAGCACAGACCCAAGGGCTAAAGCAGACCTCATCTCCCAATGAAAAGTGGCAGGGTCACATCCCAAAGGGGTACAGGTACCCAAAAGGGAGGAACAAATGACCAATTCCCAGAAGAAACCAGCGTGTTTGGATTAAAACTATACATTTGAGCATCACAGCTCATTCCATCCTTGGGTTTCATTATTTTTTTGTGTAACAGTGGAAGAAACACATGCATAACATTTTCGCAATTTCAAATTCTTACAGAGGTCAGGCACATAACAACAAGTGAATGGTAAGGGCCAGGAGGGAACCATAGCAACTGAGAGTTCATGCCCCATCAAAAGGGGCAGCTATTGCTCAGCCCAGCTTTTGGTTGCCATGTGAAAAAGGGTGTTCACTGCTTCTAGCTAGACTAGCTCAACAGAAAGAGAAAGGAAATTTCAATTTTTATGTGCTAACACCTAGTCAGAAATTTGGTTACAAGTTCCACAAAATATCTACCTATCGTATTGGCCAGACAAAATATTTCTGCAGACTGAATTCAGGATGTAAGCCAGCTGTGTTTTGATCTCTTTTGTATGTGCATCAAGATGTTATGCTATAGAAACATATGCTGTGTCAGGAGTTCCATAGGATGGGAAAACACAATGGATAATGTTGTAAGGCCAGATAGAAAGTCAGGGGGACTTCCTGGAGGCAGCAGTTGAGGCTAATATTGAAGGACAGGCATGATACTTCACGGTTGGATGAACAAGCGATGCTTGAATGGAGGCGACTCCATGAAAAGGGTGGAAAGTAAGAAACTGAGCTAAGGGTACAGACCCTCATCTCTGCCTCCTGCTTTGGCCACTGGAGTGAAGAGAGAGCAGGAGAGGTCCAGGCAATAGATCAGAAAGGCCCGTTTCCCCACTGCCATCGCTGATCACATGAGAAACCATGATTCACAGTTCCCTGCTCCCCGACTGGCCACTCGTCTTTGTTGCCTACGTGGAGACAACTGGGACCCAATAGAGTCGTTACTTTTTCGTTGTTGCTGCCAAACACGTGAGAAGAAGCCCACACAGGGAGGGGGCTCATTTGGCCTCACAGTTTCAGGGCACAGTTCACTAAGGAAGGCGAGGAGGCAGGAGCATGAGGAAGGCGTGGAGGCAGGAGCATGAGGAAGGCGAGGAGGCAGGAGCATGAGGAAGGTGTGGAGGCAGGAGCATGAGGAAGGCGAGGAGGCAGGAGCATGAGGAAGGTGTGGAGGCAGGAGCATGAGGAAGGTGTGGAGGCAGGAGCGTGAGGAAGGCGTGGAGGCAGGAGCGTGAGGCATCGGGTCATGACGCACCCTCAGTCAGGAAGCAGATGAACACCCAGCTTGCTGTCTTCTTTTTATCCAGCCTGGGACGCCAGCCCGTGGGATGTTGCTGCCCACATTTAGGGGGCATCTTCCCACCTCAGCTAACCAAATCTAGAAATTCCTTCAGGCAAGCTCAGAGGTTTGTCTCCTAAGTAATTCTAGATTCTGTTCAGGTGACAGTCAATATTAGCTATCACAATGAGGCTCAGCCTGAACCATCTCACTAAAAGACTAACTCAGAGAGAGTTAAGCAGTAGAGACAAACAGAAGTTGGTCAATATCAGTCTTCCTAACCTCCTTATTCCTGAAAGTTCTTGAGTCTTTGTGTCCTTGGCTCCAGAAAAGTAAGTGTTGCTTGAACATTGGTTTTCACTTTCCTTCTATTTTGAAACTTGGTCTTCTTTCCAGCTAGATGATGGTGTCTCTGAAGCCAGTGGTTCCAGAGTGACCCCCGGCTCTCCACGGCAAAGTTCTGGGTTTCACCTGTGTCCCCATCTCAAGTACTAGAGAGGGAGACCTCCCATCAGGAAGGCACAGCCAGGCAGCTGTGTAGAAGGGAGAAGCTGACAATAATGGAGTGAGCCCATGGGGGGGTCCGCCGGGGTCACAAAAGCTGAGTTCTAGGGCTGGTTCAAGCTAAAACTGCAGCCCTATGGTCTAGGGTCTCAAGATGGAGAGTGAGTAACAGAAAACACCTGGTGGGTTTTACCAATTTTTTTTTCCATAGAGATTCTTCCAGCTTTTCCTTTTGGTATTTTTCAAGGTGGTGAATATCAGCAGGAATTTTGTGTATGTGGCTGTGTTCGTGTGTGTGTGTGTGTGTGTGTGTGTGTGTGTGTGTGTGTGTGTGTGTGTGAATGTGTGTATGTGAGAGAGAGGGAGAGGAGAGAGAGAGAGAGAGAGAGAGAGAGAAAGAGAGAGAGAGAGAGAGAGAGAGAGAGAGAGAGAGAGAGAGAGAGAGAGAGAGAGAGAGAGAGAGAGATTTGGCTAGCTGGCTCAGCAAGCTCCGGGGATCTTCCTGTCTAGGCTGGCTTCCCCAACACGAATTACAGGAATGTACTGCCACAGTCAGCTTTTTATATTGGTGCCAGAGGTCTGAAGGCAGATCCTTGGGTACTTTACCACCTTGTCGCCAGCCCCCAGAGCTGGACTCTTCATTTGTGTATAGTGTTTGGTGCACTGGAGAAGATGTGCACGGGGCTGTCACAGACAGTTAACTGCTGACGCGCTGAGCTGCTGGGATGAGCAGCTAGCAGATCTGTGGAGGGCTAGAGTGGACTCCATGGGAGACAGAAACAGACATGTCCTCAGAGATAGTGATGGAACTTACAGGAAAGAAAACCAAGGGCTTCCTGTAAACATGGGAGTCGGGGGATTTTCGAAACTCCAGTCACAGTGGAGATAAAATTAGAATTAATTATAACTAATTCGTCAGAGTTCTAAGCAGTTCTATGGGTCCCAAGGTTGTATGTTTACATGAAAGTCTGCAATAAGGAGAGCCCCAGAGGCTGTCCTTGGGGGATGATGCCAGGATTCCTGGTCCCTTGACCAGGCTATCCCCACTTGGGAGGGGAATCATTTCACATGTTCTAAGGCAGACATATTGCTCAATACCACACTGACCCCTTGATATGAGGGAAGGGACCTCAGTGCCCCACCCCACACTCATCCATTAGATGTCGCTACCCTGGCCTTCCTTCCCCCACCAGGAGGAGAAGCAGGCTCAGTGCTTGGTTCCTCGCTGGTTAGATACCTCCATTTTAAAGTTCTTCTTTTTTTTAAGTTCTTATTTTTTAAAAATAATTTTTTCATACAATACATTTTGATCATATTCCTCTCAACTCTGTGCATAATATATATATGCACACACACATACACACACATATTCTCAAAACAAAAACAGACAATCAAAAGGAACCCCAATAAGACAAAAATAACAAAACAAAAAGCTAACAAAAATGGAGTCCCTTTGTGTTGGCATGGTGCCCCTGGAGTGTGGTTGGTATACCTGGGGCATGCCTCCATCTTTAATGAATTCACCAATGCTCTCTGGGTTCAGGCAGCTGATTTCTCTCTGAGCCCGACTTCTTCACTGTAAGTAAGGACTGTTGAGATGATTGCATCTATTGTCCGTGCAGCACTCAGGGAAGAGAGAGGCGTGCAGTGAGCACTTCGGGAGTGGCAGGTGATGTTTTCATTGTTACATGTAATCTGTCGCTGAACTTGGCTAATGTAAGTCCCCCTTGATGGTTAACTCTGGGAATGGCGCCAGCAGGCTTGTGACTTTGCTTTGTGGCTACCATCTTTCCTTTTCCTGGTGTACACTGACAAAAGCTTGACCCCATATAGAATCAGGTCAGGCCTGTCATCTGGCCTCCCCCAGGCTACTCCTCTACATGGGCAAACTGAACAAAAGCGTTAGCTTCCCTGTTATGGATGAGGGAAACTGAGTCTCACACTAAATCTTCAACTGGTAAGAGGAAGGCTGAGCTCTGAGCTCAGATCTGACTTCAAGCCCGTCATTTTCTTACTGCCCCAAACTTCCTTGCACCCAGTCGGCAAGGCCGGACTATGGCACTTCTCTTCTCTTGCCACAGCCACTGCCCCAGCGGTTACGTCTGCCTGAAAACTTCTGACAATCCAGATTTTAACTACACCAGCTTTGATTCCTTTGCGTGGGCGTTCCTCTCGCTGTTCCGCCTCATGACGCAGGACTCCTGGGAGCGCCTGTACCAGCAGGTATCTTTGCTTTGTTTATTTGAGACAGGATTTTACTATGTAGCCTTCGCTCACATAGAACTTGTGGTGATCCCCCTGTCTCTGCATCCCATGTGCTGGGATTACAGGCATGCACCACCACGCCTGGTCATGCAAGCTGACACCAATCTGCATGTCCTGTACAGTCTTGGCTGGAGGCAGATGGGCCAGCTGCATGGCTTCGCTTATTCTGGAAGTCAAGGCCCCTGTGTTCCATGCACAGCCCTCTTTTCTTTGTCTTGAATCTCCAGACACTCCGGGCTTCTGGGAAAATGTACATGGTCTTCTTCGTGCTCGTCATCTTCCTGGGGTCATTCTACCTGGTCAATCTGATCCTGGCTGTGGTCACCATGGCATATGAGGAGCAGAACCAGGCAACCATTGCGGAAATCGAAGCCAAGGAAAAGAAGTTCCAGGAAGCCCTCGAAGTGCTGCAGAAGGAACAGGAGGTGGGTGGAGGCGGCCTGCCCATATGGCCAGCCACCAGGACAGGAGCCTGGACAGACCCCTTCATAGGCGGCTGTGAGCATGAGTCCTACTTCAGGGACTGCCTTTGTCACCTTTAGAGAGAGCACCTCGCAGGGAAGACGGCTTTCAGCAAAAGCAAAGTGCTTGCCGTGCAAGTATGGAGACCCGAGTTCACTCCCCAGAACCCACTTTTTAAAGAGGAGTCAGATGCATGCTTGCAATCCCAGTGCCAGTGAGGCAGAGTTGGGTGGACCCTTGGAGCTTTGTCTAGTTGGTAAGCTTCAGGCCAGAGAGAGTCCTTGTCACAAAAAAAAGTGAGCAGATCCTGGGGAGTGACACCTGAGTTGACCTCTGGCCTCTGTAAACATGTACACACACACACACACACACACACACACACACACACACACACACACACACACGCTCCTACATGAACATGCATCTACACACAAAAGAATCTGAGTGAGAGAGCTTTTTCCAGGTGATTTAGTCAAGAGTCTTTTGGACACAAGGAGAATAAACTAAGCACAACCAGGCAGTGGGTGGAACTAACCCATGAAGTGATCTCAACTAGACGATGGCTGTTGTCTGATCCCCCTGGGGAGCTCTGGCGGTGACCTGCACCAGAGTTAGCCTGACTTGGAAGCAAGAGGGCCAGATGTTTATGCTCCCGTATCTGCCTCAGGGGCAGGAAGTCAAAGGACTTTTCTCCACAGTGCTGCATGTGAGCATCAGGTGTTCAGCTTACACAGTGGCTGAGGGCGAATGTCCTGACCTGGTCAAAGGGCCTAGGCAAGGCGTCGGCACCTCCTGCAGGGGCTGAAGGAGGGAGGTGGCCCTGCTTCTGCCTTAGCACAACCCCACCACTGCGCGTATCCTAACCCTCAGCCTCTTTGGTCTCAGATCCCTCACCCCCACAGTCATGTTTTTGGGGACACATGAATGCCTATCTCAGCCAGAGTCTATGGGCTACAACTACCACTCTTTCCTCAGGTGCTGGCAGCTCTGGGGATTGACACGACCTCACTCCATTCCCACAATGGATCGCCTTTAGCCCCCAGAATCGCCAATGAGAGAAAGCCCAGAATAAAATCAAGGGTGTCAGAAGGCTCTACTGAAGACAGCAGATCACCCCAATCCGAGCCTTACAACCAACGCAGGATGGTAAGACCCTCTTGGCTGTCCTGAGGGCTCACTCAGCTTTGTAGCTCTTTCGGCCATGGGTGAAATGGAAAGAGGTTGGGAGCAGGGAGAGAGGAGGGTTTTAGGAGCTCTGACACACAGCCCTCCTCATTGGCGGCCTTTGCTAGGACAGGGCATTAGTAGTGGGCCTGGGGCAATAATAAGACCTTTCTAGGTGGAGGGGATCAAGATGAAGATTGTGGAATAAGGAAAAGTTAAGGCAAGGCAGGGCGATTTTGGGTTTCAGGCTGGGACACTTATGTGAGCTGTGCAGTAGGGGAAGAGCCTGGGTGTGTAGGAAAGTGGAAGAAGCCCATATGGGGCATGCTGTCCTTGAGGTATCTGTGGCCAAAAGGGTCAGCTCCCCTTCTTTCAGAGACCTGAAGCTCTGTCCCTGGTGCTGAAAACCCCACTCACCTCTTTCTGACCTCTTGCCACTTGCTGTTGACACTGAAGACCCCAGCACCGATCTCTGGGACAGAACCTAGCCTAGGAGTGACTTTCATACCTTCTGTCAGACCCGCAGCAATTCTGTCTCACCACGATTGACATTCTGCCTCCCACTCCGACTTCCCTCACCAAGTCCCTGCCTCCCACCTCTCCACCCCCTGGAAAATCCCGTGTAGCTCCCTGCTGCAGGCCTCTGCCTTCTTCTCTGTTGCTGTGATGAACACCATGACCACAAGCAAGATGGGGAGGGGAGGGTTCATTGCATCTTACACCTTCCAGGTCACAATCCATTATGGAGTTTGAGCAGAAACTCAAAGCGGTAAGCCTGAGGCAGGAACTGAAGCAGAAACCATAAAGGAACAGTTGGCTTGCTCTGTGGCTCATGGTCAGGCCCACTGTGGCTTGAGTGTCCCACATCAATTAGCAAAGAGCAAGATGTCCCACAGACATGCCTCTAGGCCAGTCTGATGGAGGTGATTCTTTAACTGAGATTCCCTCTTCACAGGTGGGTCAAGTTGACAACTTGGATTAGCGATCCAAATTGCTCACATGAAAGAAAAGTTCTCACACTAGTCGCATGGAGGGGGGATAATGGCAGCTTTTTGAGGGTTACTTCCTGCCCCTCATACCTCTTAGCCTTCCTTCCTGTGCTCACCAGAAGGATGCTGTCCTCTATTGACATTCCCCGGATTTACACAGGCACCTACACTCACAGGCACACTTGCATGCACTCTGGCCTCAGGGCCATGCCCACGCTGGAGCACTTGTTACAGCTATGCCCTTCTTACCTCACTCTGCCTCTTCCGAGCAGCACCTGGAGAGCACAGAGCACAGTTCATTGTTTCAAAGGGAATTTGGCTACTACTGACAGTCACAGAAGAGGATGAATCGTAGCTCCCATGGCAATGGCAGTGACACTGAATTGGCTTTAATTTCCCCCACTCAGCCAGCCATCCGTTAGCACCCGAGTGTCCAAGAGTGCCTCCATTCTCTTTCTCCATGTTTGTTTTCTTGGTAAATAGATCTCTGGGAGTTTTCATACAAAGATTTTTTTTGGACCAAAAGCAATGGTTTTAGAGGTTAGAGCTGAGACACAGAAAAGAGATCAGCGCCCATCATTCGACAAACAGATCAGTTCTAAAGTAAGTGGTGGTCAGGAGACCCTGGGAGTCAAGCACTGGTCTGAGACGTTTTTCTCGGTGCCCAAATGTAAACAACTCTTTCTTCTTATCTTTAACATGGGGTTCTTAATTCTCTTCTTTGCCTACGATGTGGGAAGAACCCATGGGTCTGTGTGAGCACTGCAGTCTTGGGGCATATATCCCAGGCAGAGTGCTCTGTGTATAACACTGGCTTGGCAATGGTGGTAACTGAATGGTATTAGGCTCCAAATCACCAAGAAATGAAACTGTAAGGGACTTGGGAGATAGATAAGCTGGAAATGAGTATGTCTTGCAATCATGAGGACCTGAGTTCAATTCCCAGAACCCACTTTAAAAAAAGTATGGTAGCAGAAGCAGGAGGATGCGGGGCTTGTTGGCCAGTTAGCCTCCTTGTGAGTTCCAGGGCAGTGAGAGAGCTGAGACACAACCCCGAGGCAGTCCTTTGACATGGGCACACAGCCAAGGGTGCACAGACACAGAGAGAGAGGGAGAGAGAGCACTCAGTTTTGACTGGTGAGGAGAATTCTCACAGTGACACACCCTACTTTAGTTGTTTGTAAGTAAAAGGAATTAAGAAGAAATTAAGGGTGCTATGACCAGAGTTCAGGAGGGAGCCATTGTTTAGATTTCAGAGACACCGTGTATGATCTGAGCACAGGACTGACGACTTGCTATGACCAGGCTCCCACAGAACTAGCTAACCCCATCCAGTAGCTCTGTAGGGGTGCTGGGTCTGAGAATTCGAGCTTTTCCTCTGGATCCGTAAGCCTCGAAGTTCTCACTCGGTGGGAGCTTTTGATGGGAAATGTTTATCGATTTGGAAGAATGGCATTATTCTTCCAAGAAATTAGACTGCAACTCTTCCTTCAATCTCCCTATTGTTGACTGTTCAAAGCCAGCCTCAGGGGATCCTGCCAACTCATTACAGTACAAAGCTCTTGTCTCTTCCACTCTGACACAAACCCTCACACTTACAAAGATGGAATCCAGGAATTGTACATCTTAATTTTCAGACTGCAAAGCATATCCATTCAAAACACATATTCCAAGCTCTAGTCCAGGCATTTCCTTAGGCATTTCCTGACATTCCCCTCACAGATGGCAACCCAGAACAGCCATGTTTGGGCCTGCTGACAAAGACTGGCAAACATCTGGCCTGACGAGTGATATTTAGTAACAATAACCTGTTCACTGATCTTGGGTACCCTGTCATCACCCCCTCCTCTGCTCCCTCCCCAAGTCTATCTAGGATATCCTTTTCTTGGTTCCCTCTCCATGTCTACCCAGGATATCTTTAGGTCTTTATGTAGCTGTGGGAAGGTGGTGAACATTGGATGTGGGTGGAGGGAAGTGTGCACTGGATTTAGGGAGAATCACTCCAACCCTATCTTTTCTCCTGCTCCCTTGGGGGCAATGCCCAGTCTTTCCTAGGCCTTTCTTCCGGAAGACGCAGGGCTAGCCACGGCAGTGTGTTCCACTTCCGAGCACCCAGCCAAGATGTCTCATTTCCTGATGGGATCACAGATGATGGAGTCTTTCACGGAGACCATGAAAGCCATCGAGGTTCCCTGTTGCTGGCCAGGGGTGCTGGGCAGGCAGGTCCTCTTCCCAGGAGCCCATTGGCTTCATCTCCCAACCCTGGGCCTGGACACAGAGAAGAGGGACAGCTCACAGTGCCCACTGGAGAGCTTGCCACTGGAGCTCCCGAAGACCTGGTAAGTTCGTGCGTGCTTCATACTCCAACTGTCTTCCAGTAGAAGCCCTTTGCCAATAAGTGTCACCAATGGAAGGGTGTAGCCGGAAGGTTTCTCTGGTCCCACTAGGCCCCCCCCCCCGCCCCCGCAGTCCTGTGGCCCGCTTATAAAATAATCACTCAGAAGCTTATATTAATTATAACTGCTTGGCCATTAGCTCAGGCTTATTACTAATTAGCTCTTACGCTTAAATTAACCCATAATTCTTATCTATGTCTAGCCACGTGGCTTGGTACCTTTTCTCAGTTCTGCCTTCACATCTTGCTTCCTCTGTGTCTGGCTGGTGACTCCTGACTCAGCCTTCCTCTTCCCAGAATTCTTCTTATCTGCTTGCCCTGCCTACACTTCCTGCCTGACTACTGGCCAATCAGTGTTTTATTTATCAACCAATCAGAGCAACATATATTCACAGCATAGAGAATGACATTCCACAGCAGAAGGGTCTTTAACAATATTTGTCCCATGCCTCCCACTCAACTCTCCTTTTACAGACAGGGCAGGCCAGATCCAGAAAAGCCACTGGGATTGTTTGTGGTGAAGGTGTTCATTGTCCATCTTCTCTGCAGGCAAGGGTGCAGCTGATTTGCCATTTGACATCATGTGTCTTTCTGTCCCTACTTATCATCATTGCTTTGGAGATGGCCCCATATGCTCCTTTGATGGAAGGAAAACAAAGAGTCTTCCTATATAAGCCTATGGCTCCTAGCAAACTGTACCTGGGGTTTGACAAAATTCTGAGAGGTTCTCAGGACAGATCTTGATAGAAGGGCAGTGGCCTTGGCTCAACTCACAGGATAAATAGCTCATTGCAATGCCACAGACTAGGGACAGGAACTGATCCATTCCTTAGGAGAACATCCACAGGAAACATAGCAACAAGTCTGGACTCTGTGTTGAGTTGAGAGATACAATTTATTTGAGAACTCCTTCAGCATCACTGACGGTGTGTCTGCAGCTTCCACAGGCCCGCACCGGCTACCAGACGTACATAGGCAAAGAGACTTGTGTGGCTGCTTCCCCTGAGTCTGGTAGGTTCAGCAGAATTGTGCTAGCGCAGTCTGATACCACATGACTCAGGATACCTTGTGACTCCAGATATCACATGACTCTGGATATCACATGACTGAGGATTCCAGGAAGAAGCAGATGACCTGCTTCAATGGGCAAGGGCAGGCATTTAGTAAGGTATTCACAGAGGTGTGGGCTCAGCTCAGGGAACTAAGGGCCAGTGAAGAGCTGTACATACCCAACTTGGAAGTGTAAGGAAAAGACCCCAAATCAGAACTTGTCAAGATCTGTGGCTGGGGGACCTGTGGCCCCAGGTGGAGAATCATGCCACTGCCAGCTGAAGGAGACAGGGTACAGCCAGCCAACTCCTCTCTCTCTCTCTCTCTCTCTCTCTCTCTCTCTCTCTCTCTCTCTCTCTCCCTCCCTCCCTCCCTCCCTCCCTTCCTCCCTCCCTCCCTTCCCTCCCCTCTCCTTTCCTACTGTCCCTGTTCATGCTTCCTGTTGGCCAAGCTTGGTCATAGGGTGAATATTTTGCTCGGGTTGCCCTCATGGGACACAGAGCAGGAAGACAGGTGGTGGAAAGTGTATCTCTAGGCCAAACAGAATCACCAGTCCAGAGTCCTTAACCCACAGCCAGGCTGCAAGGCTCTTGTGGGTGTCTTAGTGCTGCACATGGGGGGAGATCTAGCCTCCAGAATTCTCTCTGATCCCGATCACAGTTGTAATCTTAGCTCTTGTGACCCAGCAGAAGAAGAATTTGTACCAAGCATAGCCAAAGAACACAAAGTCTGTTTTCAGCAGGGGAACAGCAGAGCAGAAAGTGTAGCCTGCAGATTAGGAGCTGCCCAAGTGTCGACAGTCTGTAGCATCAGGACTTATGAAGTCCTGATCTATTTCTCTCCTGTGTCCGTGCCTGGGGCAGTCTGGGGTGGTTTCCTTCCTGGAGTAACTAGAGGCTTTCTTAGAAGTTGTCTTTACCCATGATTCACTCTGCTGTAATTAGATGCATTAGATATAAGAATGTACCCATAAAGCTGGAAGTTTATTAGGGGAAAGGGCGTGGCTTGGTATGCTTCTCAGGGAGGGGATCAAGGAGAGCCATGCAGACCCTGCTGAGACCAGCTTTACTGTTCTCCCCAGAGCCCTGTCCTTCCTTGTATCTAGTTAGCTTGGTCGCCTCATACCCCAGCTGTGAACCATCTTATTTCTCTTTCCCAGTGTCCCTGACCTTACCATTTGAATCCTGTTTGTCTGAACCCCAGGAAATGCCTCACTTAGCATTTTGTCACTCTCTTAGGAGGCACCTCTTACTTTCCTGTGTCTGTTCCTGGGACAGTCACATTCTTGAGTGTTCAACCTTAATTTATTCTGATGAAAATACTCAGCTAGTGTGAGAAGACTCTAGGCCCTTCTGTATCACAAGGACCTACACTCAGTTGTCTTTAGCAAGTTCCCTAATTTTCCAAGCCTTCTTGCCTCCCCTGGGGCTCAGCAAGCTCTTTCTCCTAATAAACTTCTTGGATCTTTTTGGCTGGGTTCATACCCTCCAGCCTGGGCTCTGGCTCCTGCCTCTGTGTGTTGGTCCTCATAGCTAAGCTCAAACACCATCCCTGTTTCTCTGAGCTGTACCTTAGAGGCTCATGGCTTCACAGGGCAGCTCACAACTGTATGAGATCAGCCAATAAGAAGTTGGATGACCTAGCTCTGCAGCTGAAGTGTCCTGACCCTGCTTGTGTCCCAGCAGGCACTTGAGGCTGCGGGGCAGAAGAAGAATTTTCTGTCTGCAGAGTACTTGAATGAGCCTTTCCGAGCACAGAGGGCAATGAGCGTTGTCAGCATCATGACTTCTGTCATTGAAGGTAAGTGGTGCTCATTGACATGTCCATCTTCCGTGTTGTGATGAGTCTAAGCTGGCCCAAGGACCTCTCTCGGTGGCCTGAGATCCTAGTTACTCTCTGTAGGTGTTTTGTGTTGCACAGTGTTCAGAGGAGAGTCACTCCAGAATGTAATTTTAGGCTCTCTGGCAGGAGGGGGGATCAGTTTCTGTGAACTGAACCTTGAACAACCATGCAAAGGTTTATTTATTGATTTTTACACAGTTATTTTGGGGTACAACAAGTTCCTCCTCATACCAAAGCCCCTTGGATCTACTCCATATCTTCTCTGAAGGAAATCATCACACCTTAGTCCACAACTCCAGTCCTTCTTGTGTACTGTTTGCAGTGCCCAATAATGCAAGATGCTCCAAGTGAGCCCTGGATAGTCTTGAGACTGAAGTCATGCAATGGATGGAAAACTTCCTCAGAAAAACAAGTCTACAAATCATAGAAAGCAATCACTGTTCTCTACTGCTATTTCTTCAAGGTCCTAGTACCTCTAACAAACAACTAATACATTCTAATGTTACCCTAGATACAGTGAGAAGCAACTATTACTTTCTAATGTCTACCCTAGATACTAGACTCTACTAGATCCCACTGTAACTCTCCGTTCTTATGCCTTAGGCCCCCAACCTCCTTTACTAATGTGATTTTTATGTGCACAAAGTTCCCAAGAGACTCCAATGAAGAAGTGGCGTAGTTCACTTCTTATTCAAATTAGCATCTGCTTCATACGTACTCACAAACTGGATTTTCAGAAGAGAGCTTGGAAACATCAGACAATGTCAGCCACCTCCAGGTGTTCAAGGAACTCAACAGCCTTTCATTTCCCAGCTTGGCAAAGTTATTCTTCATGTTCCCCACAGCCATAACGCTCATTATGGCGACTTTATTTCTGTCTCAAGCTCTTGTTACCAAGCATGGGAGACAATGTAAATCAGCTAGTCAATCCATTTCACCAAATCCTTTTCTGTTCTGGGCTCTGCCAATCAAGTGGGAACCGACTCAGTCTCCTGAGGGATGTGTCTGTGATCCAGCCAAGGGTGGAAGAAGAAGGGGGTGGCACTCTCTGTACACACAAGTCCCCAGAGAACATGCTTGTGACCTCTCCTCTGAGTAGAGAGGCTATTCTAGCCTAATTGTTACTTCACTGTGGGGTGAGAAGAATCTTATCTTTGACAAATTCATCTACTTACATACCCAATCCCCAGTAAAGAAGGCCCAGACAGCCTCAGAGGGTGCTCTGTACAATTCAAATAGCTTGAATTTTCAATTATTTCCTGGAACTTTTAAAAAAGGTTTATTTATTCAAACATCTGTTAGACATCTGGCATTGTTCCAGGAGCCTGAGATTCCATGAGAGCAAGATATCCACCTGCTTTCATAGACTGTGCGCCCTGGAGACAGAGATGATCAACACAAGTAGATAGCAAATGATGATGAGGGATGGGAGGAAAAATAAGGAAGGCAACCGAGAGCGGGGTGGGGGGTGGGATTCTAACAGGGCAGTTTTAGCAGAGGGTAGTGAAAGGAAGCCTTCCTGGGGAAGATCAGCCATCTGAATGATGGGGGAATCAGTATGTGAAAACTGCGAGAGAAAATTCCTCAGACATAAACACCTAATAAAATTTTCAGGGATAAGGTAGAGACTGGCCATAGTCATGTGTTCCCCAAATTCCAGAACTAGGGAGAATGATGTAAGAGGAGCGAGTTCTAGACCAGCCAGGGCTGACTCAAAAAGAAAGATGGGCCGTGAGGTGGTGGTGCACGCCTTTAATCCCAGCACTCAGGAGGCCAAGGCAGGTGCATCTCTGTGAGTTCAAGGCCAGCCTGGTCTACAGAGCGAGTTACAGGACAGCCAGGGCTGTTACACAGAGAAACCCTGTCTCAAAAAACCAAAACAAGAAGAAAGAAAAAGAAACAAGAAAGGAAGATGGGAGTGAGAAAAATGTGACTGCAAACATACCCACTTTAGACCAGAGACGATCTTAGCGTGGAGAGGCAGCAGGGTTGAGAACACAGATCTGGAGCCCACGTGCCTGGGTTTGCATCCGGGCTCTGCATTCACAGCAAACTGCATGACTCTGGGCTTCTCTTGACTTTCTGTGCCTCAGTTTTTCACAGTGGCAGAATTTTGCAAGTATATTTCCCCTGTACTGTTTTGTGAGGTTTCAGTGACTTAGGTCAAATGCATAGTAACCACACCAGATATCACCTACTGTTATTCACCAGATTTAAACCCCATGAGGGCAAGAGATGTGCCTCCTTTGCTCACAGCTGGATCTCTAGTGCCGAGATAAGCAGTGTGTGGCACGTGGTAGGCATTAGCAAACAGTTGCTAAGTCAATGGTGACTGAGTTCGCTGCCCAAAGGAGACATGTGGAGGATGGTGCTGACTCGTAATGAACTGAACAGATGAAAAGGTAAAAATGAAGAAGAGTCAGAGATCTAGGGCAGGAAGAGAGGACACGAACGCAGTAGGAAAGTCAGGAGACACCGTACTAAAGCTGGATAAACATGATGCCAGGCTAGGCCAGAGAGTCTAAGCATGGAGTGCATTATCTTCTCCAGTGGGGTGTTACATCCATTATGGGGTTCATGGGGGCTGCCTCATGCTGTCAGCATCATGATGGGATCTACAGGACCACTTCCTTCAGGGTGATTTTGCGGAAGAAGGCTTGGCTCAAGAGCATGGCCGCTCACTTAACTCAAGACCTGTGAGCCATCCATGCTTGGCATGCAAGCTGAGACTTGACAGTCATCCAAACCGGAAGGCCAGACACAGACTCACAGCTGTGAGTGAAGCTATTATCGTACATAGCAGGAGAGAAGGACATGAAACAAGTCACCAGTGGGGTGCGGGGTGTCTTGGTGGAGAAATGCAGGATGCTAAGAGAAGGTGGAGGGAGTTTCACCAGGGGTCAGGGAAGCACCCTAGGCAGACAGGTCCTGAAACAGACATTTAAAAGCCTGAGCTATCTAGGTCATAGACATCAAGGCAACGGGGGCCTCAAAATATGGCTAGGGAAGTGGGCTGGCGCCAGATCCACAAAAGGCCCTGGACTCTGAAGGACATTGGGTTTCACCCAAGAGCAAGGAGATGCCATTAAAGGGCTGGAGGCAGGAGAGTGAGATTTGGGCTTCATAAAGGTTATTCTGAAACTTGCAGAGAATGGGATTTAAGTGGGAGGGTGTTGGCAGGGCAAACAGAGGAAATCAGATGAGAGTTGGAAGTGCTCTGGGGGAGGGGCAGCAGGGATGACAGAAACTGGGAGGACCACACAGGTCTCTGAGGAGCATGAGCTTCAGGAGTTCACGGTGCTCACCGTTCTGGGACAAGCAACTGAAGGAGCACTGGAGCAACGGCCAAGCGGAGCACTGTGGGGAGGACCACAGGGCCTCAGAGGAAAGCCATGAGAAGATGCGCAAGAGTCTGGGACATGTTGAGTGTGACGTGCCCTGGGAACATCCAGGTAGCAGAGTCTGGTAGGAAGCTGGCTTAATGATAAATAGTTCTAGATTTCAGATGAGGAGGAGCCCAGAGATATATATTCCATAGCAATCTGAAGCTGGAGGGTGATTTTGGAAAGATGCAAGAGGAAGAGGTGATAACAAGGAGAACTGGGGCCGGGCTCTAGGAAAACACAGCATGTCAAAGTTGAGCAGAAGAGATGGAAGCACTGGAAGAGGCAGAAGGAAGATAAAACAAGACAGGACCCACAAGTGGAGAAGAAGAGACAGGGGTCCAGATTCCTTCCCGGAGAACAGAAAGGTCAACAGAGGCAAAGTTATGGGGATGTCAGGTGACTTGTACTGAGGCTTTACTCACATGGAAGTTTTTGGTGATCTGTACAGGACCATAAAGCAGACAGGGATAGCTCAGTGGGTAAATTACCTGCCTTACAAGTATGAGGACCTGAGTTCGAATCTCTAGCACCCATGCTAAAAATTCGTGCTGGCTGCATGTGCCAGAGATGGGGGATCCGAAGAGCTCACTGGACAGTTGGTCTAGCCAAATCAGTGAACTTAGAGCTCAGTAAGAGACCCTGTCTCAAGGCAACAAGGTGCAGAGTGATAAAGGAGAACACCCAATGTCTTGCTTTGCCCTCTGCATCTGAGTGCATGGGCACACTCACCTGCACTTTCTTATGCATGCATCATATACCACACAACACACAAACACAGAAATCAGGCTGGATGGCACCTGAAAAGTGGAAGTGTACCCACACTGTGTACCCACACTGCTAGTGCACCTTCACAGGCATGAGTGTACACACATGAGCACACACACACACACCAGGATCATCATGGCTGAACAGTGAACAGAGGCCACACATGAAGAATAAGTGAGCAGGGAGGAAAAATGATATATATTGGAGAGTAGGAGGTTGAAGGAAGCCTTTCTGGTTTTTTTTGTTTTTTTTTTTTTTTTTTTTTTTTTTTTTGGTTTTTCGAGACAGGGTTTCTCTGTGTAGCTTTGCGCCTTTCCTGGAACTCACTTGGTAGTCCAGGCTGGCCTCGAACTCACAGAGATCCGCCTGGCTCTGCCTCCCGAGTGCTGGGATTAAAGGTGTGCGCCACCACCGCCCGGCGCCTTTCTGGTTTTTGAGATTGGGTTTTGTTTTGTTTTGTTTTGTTTTTAGCATATCAACCAGGGAGGATCTTGGAGAATGGGAGAGACTGGGTACAGAGGGACATTCAAGTCAATTCTGGAAGTGGTAGGAGAGGGTGCTGTGGAGACCTTGGCTGTTATCTCAAGGAAGGATGCTCCTCCTAAAAGGAGGAGAGGTCTTCCAAAGACCACCAGGAAGGGGCACGGCCACGCTCAAGGCTAGCCAAGGTGTGACTACTCTTGTCTCTGTGTTCTTTGTCAATCAAGATCGGCCACGGTAGTTATAGAACAGAGGTGGTTCTGTTGATAAAGTGCAAGTCCACTGTGCAAGCCTGAGAAATGAGTTCAGATACCCAGCCTCCTGTAGATGCTGATCATAGCAGTGTGTGTGTGCCTGTGACCTCAGCACTGGGAGTGGAGAGAGGCAGATCTTTCTAGCCAGCCCATCTAGCCAAAGAGGTGAGACCCAGGTTCATAGGGAGACTCTGTCTTAAAAAAAGTGAATGAGGAAGACACTGACATTGACCTCTGACCTCTACGAACATACTCTCATACACACATGGTTCATAGCATGGGCGTGTGCGCACACACACACATAGACAGAGCTGAACCCCTGCACATTGTGCCTCACAGACAGGCTGCTTCCTACAGAATGTTATCTGTAAATGTCCTCATTCAACACTAGTTCTCAGGCTACCTTTCGGTGCCAAAACAGGTCCAAGAAAGTCCACTTTCGTTCCAAATAGGGATGATTGATTTTGCTCCCAGAACACATCAGCTTCTGTACAAAACTATGCTTTGCCAGTTTTGACATCTGTAGTTTGAAAAACTCACAGCAGGTAATTAGCACAGCGTGGTAGTAGAAATAAATAGCCTGGTATGTGGAAGAGGAACGGACATGTGTATGTGGGAATGTACGGAAGTACCATGATGAAAACATCATTTCAACTTCTTAGGAAAACCAGATTATCCAATAATACTGTTAATATAAACAACCAAAGAAGAGAACTATATCAATACATTGCTTTTTACCCAAAATAAACTGCAAATGCACCAAAGGTTGACATGAAAAATAATGAGGCTAGAAAGAAAGAAGAAAACATGGATAGGTTTTTTTTAAAACCTTACAGTGCAAGAGGCTTTGTATGGAAAGTATGGGTGTAAGAAAACGTGGCGAGGGGGAATGCCCATGTCAGCTGGTGTGTCCATCTGCAGGATGGATGGCATGCAGTAGAATTTATAGACAAGCCTAAAGCTATGAAATTGCCCTCCACAGAGATGCCCCCAATTACACAGCCAAGCAGATATGTAATGGAGGCTGCAGGAGGGATAAGCCTGGGGCTCAAGGGAGAGACCAGAAGCTGGACATATAATTTAGGAGCGATCTGCATGGAAGTGGTTTTGTAGGGCCATGGGGTTCAATACGATTACCTAGGGAGACAATGAAGAGATGGAGTAAAAAATGTTTGTGCTTGCCAACACCTCAAGCCAGGAGAGGAAGCAAGAGACAGAAACTGAGAAACCGCAGCTATGGGGAGGAGAGAAAATGCGGGGGTTGGTCTAGCCTGGCTCATGAATGCCGTCAGTGCTGCAAGAGACAGGGCAGCATCCTGCTTGAATTTGGGAGGGGTAAGAGCCAGACACCAGGGCCTCCAGAGAAAAGAGGAGGAGAAACAGTGACTACATTTAGAAAACTTCCAAGGAAGTTTGCTGTTGAAGAGGCAGAAGATGAGAAAGAGAGAGAGAGAGAACACACAGTCCAGAGGGACCTCTTCTAAAGCTGAGATACAATTAAAGCGTACTGACATGTTGACACATGGGAGCAACCCGGGGGTGGAGAAGGGGGCTGAGTAGGTGAGAAGGAAAAGGCTTCTGTAAGGGAAGGGCTTCTATGTAAGTCAAAGAGGTGTAGCTCCTCCTGTTCCTGTAGACAGGGAGGCAGGAGAGCGAGAGGGTGCAGCTTCTCCTGTAGACATGGAGGCAGGATGTGGAGAGGGTGCAGCTCCTCCTGTAGACATGGAGGCAGGAGATGGAGAGGGTGTAACTCCTCCTGTAAACATGGAGGCAGGAGATGGAGAGGGTGCAGCTCCTCCTGTAAACATGGAGGCAGGAGATGGAGAGGGTGCAGCTCCTCCTGTAAACATGGAGGCAGGATGTGGAGAGGGTGCAGCTCCTCCTGTAGACATGGAGGCAGGATGTGGAGAGGGTGCAGCTCCTCCTGTAAACATGGAGGCAGGATGTGGAGAGGGTGCAGCTCCTCCTGTAAACATGGAGGCAGGAGATGGAGAGGGTGCAACTCCTCCTGTAAACATGGAGGCAGGAGATGGAGAGGGTGCAGCTCTTGCTCCTGTAGATATGGAGGCAGGAGATGGAGAGGGTGCAGCTCCTCCTGCTCCTGCAGACATGGAGGCAGGAGATGGAGAGGGTGCAGCTCCTCCTGCTCCTGTAGACATGGAGGCAGGATGTGGAGAGGGTGCAGCTCTGCTGGAGACTCGGTGGTAGGAGGAAGAGGAAGCTGTTGGCGAATGATTCTGAATTCTGTAGGAGATAAAGGAATCTCATGAGTATAGAATGAGGAGTTAGAGGCTGTAGAAGAGGAGGAGTGAATACTCTCAAAGGCTGGAGAATTGGATTTGGATCTGGTTTAGATACAGTGTTTTGAATTTTTTATCATTTTTCATAATTTCTTTTTTAATAAGGTAAATGTCCTATTAGATTTCACTGCTTGCTGAATGAGGTATCTAACTCAAGAGGACCAGTTACCCCTGCAGAGCTCCTGGGCAGGCATTGGCAGAGGCTCAAGGATGGCTTAGTTAATGTTGGGTGTGTATTTTGTCCAACCACATTCAGCTGGCTGGGTGCAAGCTTGGTTTATTCGTAGGGTGCTTTGCCAGGTAAGTGAAGGAGGAAGTGGGCAGAGGAATTGAGCACGTCCCCAAAGGAGTCCGCAGAGGGATGGGTGTGAAATCCAGATGGGGTGAATTGAGAAGTAAGGGCATGATGTGGGCAAGGGGCAGTTCATGAGTGAGGTCAAGCAGCAGAGAGAGCTCAGTCAGTGTTTGCCTTGCAAGTTTGAGAACCTGAGTTTGATCCTCAGAAGCACGTAGTGAAAAGCCAGGCGGGCAACACACACTTGTTGTCCCTGTGCTGGCAAGTCAGGGGTCCTGGGGGTTTGCAGGCAGGTCAGCCTCACCCACTTAGTGAGCTCCAGGCCAGCAGAAGACCATCTCACCAGGCATGGTGGCGCACACCTTTAATCCCAGCACTCAGGAGGCAGAGGCAGGTGAATCTCTGTGAGTTTGAGGCCAGCCTGGTCTACAGAACGAGTTTCTAGCAAGACAGGGCTATGTCGAGAGACCCTGTCTGAAAAAGAAAAAAATCAGAAGAGGAGGCAGAGGGGTCAGTGCCTGAGGAATGATAAACGAAGTTGTCCTCTGGTTTCTACCCTTAAATACATGAACACGCATGCACATATGTGTACAGAGAGAGAGAAAGAGAGATGGAGACACAGCAACAGTCTAAGGGCTGGGTGAGTGGTGTATTGGGGTGACAGGACCAAAGTCCCGTTGCTCCACAAGTAGGAAATGGGAGGCATGGAGATAAGCTCTGGAGTGAGACTTTGAAGATGACCAGTATTGATATGGAAGGGTCTAGAATATGACCACGGGATGGGGGTCCAAGGTGACATGTGAATGACAGCTGTCATTGACTCCACCATATGCAGAACTTGAAGAGTCCAAGCTGAGGTGCCCACCCTGCTTGATCAGCTTGGCTCAGAAGTATCTTATCTGGGAGTGCTGCCCCAAGTGGGTGAAGTTCAAGATGGTCCTCTTCGAACTGGTGACTGACCCCTTTGCAGAACTCACCATCACCCTGTGCATTGTGGTGAACACCGTCTTCATGGCCATGGAGCACTACCCCATGACCGATGCCTTCGATGCCATGCTCCAAGCCGGCAACATTGTGAGTGTTCTGGCAGCACTGGTGGCATTAGTCAGCCTTCACGGTGGGGACTCGGGGTGTGTGGCTGCATGTTTTCACCGGGCGGTGTGCTGGTACCGCTCTGAGAGCAGAGTTGTAGAGTGTCCATGAGGATATATGGACACTGACCTCAGCTGGTGGAGCCAAGCTGAGCTGGAGGGAGCTGCTTTGAGATGGACAAGGAAAGTGGATGGGGAGGACTCTGAGGTAGGACGATCTGGATCCCTTTACAGAACATGGAATTAGCCACCTGGATTGTGTAGGTCTTGCTGGCCTCTGCTCAGAAATGAGGTCAAATGTCACTTACCCATCAAAGACAATCTATGGAGTGTGTGTGTGTGTGTGTGTGTGTGTGTGTGTGTGTGTGTGTGTGTGTGTGTCCATATGTGTCTGCATGGGTTCAAAGGTCAAAGAATAACCTCAGACGCCCTTTGGACATTCCTCAGGAGCCATCCACTTTTTGTTGTTGTTTTTACACATTTATATATTCTTTAAGAATTTCATGCAGTGTATTTTTATCATGTTTTTTCCTATCCCCAATCCTCCCAGTGCCATTGTGTTGGCGACAGAATCTCTAGCTGAACATGGGTCTCATCAGTTCAGCTCGACAGGCTGCCAGCAAACTCCAGGGGCCCACCTGCCTCCACCTCCCCGGCTGGGGCTGCGCACCACCACACCTGCCTCCACCTCCCCGGCTGGGGCTGCGCACCACCACACCTGCCTCCACCTCCCCGGCTGGGGCTGCGCACCACCACACCTGCCTCCACCTCCCCGGGCTGGGGCTGCGCACCACCACACCTGCCTCCACCTCCCCGGGCTGGGGCTGCGCACCACCACACCTGCCTCCACCTCCCCGGCTGGGGCTGCGCACCACCACACCTGCCTCCACCTCCCCGGCTGGGGCTGCGCACCACCACACCTGCCTCCACCTCCCCGGCTGGGGCTGCGCACCACCACACCTGCCTCCACCTCCCCGGCTGGGGCTGCGCACCACCACACCTGCCTCCACCTCCCCGGCTGGGGCTGCGCACCACCACACCTGCCTCCACCTCCCCGGCTGGGGCTGTGCACCACCACACCTGCCTCCACCTCCCCGGCTGGGGCTGTGCACCACCACACCTGGCTTTTCACGGGGATTGTGAGGGCTAAACTTGGGTCCCCCCGGTTTCTGTGGCAGTATTTGGCCAATTGAGTCGTCTCCCCAGTCCCTGGATATGATTTTCAGTGTGGTCATGGAAGGGTGGAGGGCAGGGCAGGGGACAGAAGAGCAGGGGACAGAAGAGCAGGGGACAGAAGGCATGTACAAGCATGTGTGCCATGTAGCAGATGCATCCTGATGATTGAACTGTCTTATATGATGTTACTTCAAACGTGGGCAAGTCTGGGACACTCTCTTCCCTTCCACTGTCTGTCAGAAAGAGGCCAGCACCTGTTTCCAGCCCCTTGGGTGACTTTGCTAAAAGCCTGGGAGAGACAAGCCCTGAGCCCAGTCTTTTTGCTTTCTCTCTTCCCCAGCTCCCCTGCTTGCTGGCTTTTGTTGCCTGTTGCTGACCTCCTTTAAGGTCAGAGTTCTGTCCTGTGTAAGACAATTGACCTTCAGAACAAAAGGGAATCTCAAGAAGACCATGGATTGCTGATCTTAGTCACTATTTAGTCATGAGTTACTGCCTACTGAGAACTACCAAGCATTTGCTCCCATTATAGCCATTACACAGATTAGGAAATTGAGGCTAGGAAATGGCTGGGCTGGATTTTTATCCAGTGTTGTCCATGTTGTCTCACAACCCACACATTTTCACTGCTGGACCAGACTGACACTTGTTGACATAATTATACAGTGAAGTTTATTCTAATGGTTATCTGCTTACTCTGCATCCACCACCACTAGAATGGAAGAACGGGGGAGGGGGGACGCCTCAGCAGGTAAAGCACTTGCTAGGCCAGGGACTAGGGGGAGTTTAGACCCCGGCACCCACGGAAGTGCAAGTGGGTGTGGGTCGGTGTGTTGGCCCCCTCTGTAATCCAGCACTCAGAAGGCTGAGGTGGGAGATCCCTAGAACAAGCTGGCTACGGAGAGTGGCAGAATAGGTGGGCTCTGGGTTCAAAAGAAAGACCTGCCTCAATGCATAGAGAGTGACTGAGAAAGACGCTCCATGAGCGTCTTTCCACACTCATGAACATGTGCGCGCACACACACACACACACACACACACACACACACACACACACACACATACACACACACACACACACACACACACACACACACACAGAGACACAGACAGAGACAGAGAGACACAAAGACAAACACAGAGACAGACAGACAGACAGACAGACAGAGGGGGGAGAGAAGAAAACAGACACCTGAGTTCTAATGTGTATTCTCTGAACATCAGTGGCTCAGAATTCCCATCTACAGTTCTCAAGAACAAAACAAAAGGATTTGCTATTTTCTTCTATTTTTCTATTTTTAATGCCGCTGTTTTGAGACAGGATCTCGTTGTATGGCCCAGCCTGGCCTCCACCCTGAGGTCCTCCTGCCACAGTCTCGGGGAGGCTGGGTTTGCAGGCCTGTGCCACCACAGCCAGCATGCTGTGTTATTGTAAAGGAGATTCTTTTCTTGTTGCCCTTGTCTTCGCTGTCTCCAAGGCGAAAGACCTCACAGCGATGAACACTCTTCCCACCCTCAGGTCTTCACGGTGTTTTTCACGATGGAGATGGCCTTCAAGATTATTGCCTTTGACCCTTACTACTACTTCCAGAAGAAGTGGAATATCTTCGACTGCGTCATTGTCACCGTGAGCCTGCTGGAGCTGAGCATAGCCAAGAAGGGCAGCCTGTCTGTGCTTCGGACCTTCCGTCTGGTAACGTCATCACTTGGCCACTTGGGAAACTCCCACACAGGCTTGGGGAAGCTGACCTCTGGGGGACAGGCACTGTGTCTTTTGGGGACCCTGTCAGCACAGCCCCCACTCCTGTTCTTGTGGGAGCAAGGCAAGGGCATGGTTCCGAGAGTCGGCAATTCCAGCTTTTCAGTGATGAAAAGGGGGGGGGGGCATTCCCTCTCTTTGTGCCTTCGTCCCCTCACCAATGGAAGGGACTTCTGAACAGCATCCTATTCTCTTATCAAATAGCGGCCCCAGCAGTGAAGTCCCAACAGCTAACATTTTCTGAGGATGTGGCTAAACCATAGCATTACACTCTTGATACAATGGGCCTTGTCTGATGCTCTCAACCCTGAGACATCATCGCTTTAATGATGAGCCCAATGTCCCCCAGCCTCCAGGACATCGAGCTACTATCTGCTCTGGAACTCAAATCCACATTGCCTGACTGCTGAGTCTCAGTCCCAACCCACCTCAGAAAGGCATTCTCTTGTTTCTTGTTCCCCAAATCAGAGCCCAGTCCTGCATACCCACAAAAGCCTCCCTGCTCTTAGCCCCTGCCCAGGCGCGTCTCCAAACTCAGCTCCAGGGCGCCCTCTACTGGAGGCGTTCCTCTACTCAATCACTGGTCTCCATTGTCTGCCAGCCACTCAACACAGCTGCTTTTGTCCCCCAAACCTGTAAGAGCCACCTGGAGGATGGCTTGGAGTTCCACTGACTTCTGGAAGCAAGCAAGAGGCAAGCTTGAAAAACTGGTGTGGCCATCCCCAGGATATGTCATAATGGAACTGGAATGATCCAAACTTGACATGTTTGTTCACAACTAGAGCCCATGGACACTGTGCTTTGGAGACTACCAGATCAGATAGCTCTCAGTCCCTCTCCTGTTCTTGTGAGATGGAGGCAGGGGCGTGTCTGCTACCCATCTGCTTTCTGACTTTAACATTTAGTCAAGTCACCAATCCCTAACCACATTGCCCAGTCCCGTGTGTGGGATCTCTTCCACGTCCCCTACAGCCTAGCTGAGATTCAATGGTCCATCAGCATTATTAAACCATCAACAAGAGACCCAACCCCCTCCCCCTTTGCCCTGCAAAACTCAGTATTTCTCTCCGTGCTGGCCCTGAGTGGTGAGCATTCCCAAGTGAAAATACACAGTCCAGAAGATCGGTCTTGTAGTTTTAGTAAACAGTTCTTAGTTTTCAAAACTGCTTTAAATTTCAGAAAAGTCAAGCACATAGTGTAGAGCACTCTCCTCTAAGTGCCCCCCATCAAACCAGCACAATTTTCACTCTTATGGCCACCTTAAACTGGTGAGGGGCATTTGTCACAAATAGCTCTCCAGTTGTTCTGAGAATAAAACTCCAAGTCCTTGGGGTAGTGTCCGAGGCTCCAGCAGCCCTCTCCTTTCTCTCCCTCCATCTTTTCTCCAGCCACAGCCCTCCGCCTGGGACTCTTCTCCCCCGGTCTTCACTTAGTTCAGCTGGTCCGTGACCTTCTGTGTCCCACTCACTCCCTTTTCACAGAGTACCTGCATACTCCAGGATCAGAAACTAGATTCGCTCTTCGAACAAACCTGCTCTTCTCAGAGTGTAACTGTTATATAGTCCATATAGCTAAAGCCAGGGTTTCCTTTCCTGCCATTCTACCCCAGACACTAAGCACAAGCCTGTGTGTAACAAAGGACTCGGTGAAAATTTGATTGGTTGGGGAAAGGAAGAAAAAGAAGGAAGAAATGAAATTCCACACAACTCTTCTCACTCTTCCCCAGATGCCATCACTTGTCATGATTTAAGACACGCTCCCCATCTACCACTCTGTCTTTGGACTAGTACCATGCCGTCTTAATTACTGCAGCTTAGAACGTGGCTGTGTCTGTAAACCGAGTCACCCACTATGCCGGTGCGTCTGTCTTCACTGCCAACTCGACTGGGCTTAGAATCCCTGAAGAGACACACTTCTGAGTGTGTGTGAGGGTGCTTCCCCGAGGTTTAACTGAGAAGGGAAGATTGTCCTGAATGTGAGAGGCGTGGGAGGGGTGGGGGATGCGGTGGGCGGGGCAGATTAAAAGGGAAGAAGTAGCTGAGCAGCAGCTGTCAGCTCTCTCTGACTGGGACCCCTGACGTCGCTGCCACCAAGCCTTCCCACATAATGGACTGTGTTCCCCAAACTCTCTGAAGATTCCTCCTGTTAGGTGTTTGACTACAGTGAGGGAAGGGTAGCTAATGCACCTGCCTGGTTTACTCTAAGAATGTGCTGGCCTCTGGCTTCTGTCTTGACTTGAGAACCAGCTGTGTCCACAGCAGCACAGATACAGAACTCCCAAGTCTTCTCTGCATTTGGACTGTAATAACCTAGCAGTCAGTGTGGGAAGAAATTTAACTCTGTTATGTAATCTTCTGATCTATAAAGACAACACACTCTCCATCTAGTTCAGCCTTCCAAGTTTATGATTTTTCCATCATTTCCTCCATACAGATCTTACATGTTTTGAAATAGTCTTTGCTAATTTGAGCCAGTATTCTGATAGTTAATTTTTTGCACCCAGAAGTTCCCTTTCTTAATCCTGATGATTCATCCATGGAGTCTTTTAGATTCTTCAACATGATCATATCATGTGCAAACAATACATTTTTTTCTCCAATCCCTGTGCCGCTTGATTCTTCTTACTATGTGACCGTACCAGCTAGGACATCTAGTACCTGCTGAAAAGAAGTCTTAATAACAAACAACCTTGTTTTCTTAACTGCAAAGACAATACCTTCAATATTTCAACAGCTTTTTCTTTAATGAAAAACTTTTATCAGTTTTCTTTTGTTAAGTATTTATCATGAATAGATCTTTAATTTTTTCAGATCATTGTTCTGCATGTAAGATCGCCACATTAATAATTAACAATGATGCATTGCGTATTTCAAAGTGGCACAAGAGAGAATTCTGTATGTTCTCACCAAAAAGAAATGATAAATGTTGAAGATGACATGTATGCTAATTACCCTAATTTGATCTTTATACATTTATACATAAACAGAAACATCACTTCCTATCTCATATTTCATATCAATCAAAAGAAAGAAAGAAAAGAAAAGAGAGAGACATCAGATTTATTCTACCCCTGAAAGAAAAAGAAAATCACATTAAGATAACCATATAGGGGCCTGGAGAGATGGCTCAGTAGTTAAAATCATGTGCTGCTGTTGCAGAGGACCCATTTGGTTGCAGGTGACCTCCTCTAACTTACAGCTTAGAGGTTGGCTTACATTTGGTTGGCTTACAACCTCCTCTAACTCCAGCTCCAGGGATCCTTCACCCTCTGCTGGCCTCCATTGGCAACTGTACTCAAGTGCACATACCCACCCACAGACACATTATTTTTTAAAATTGAGTTTCTATTGCTGAATCTTTACATTCATAGAGTAAATCCAATTTGTTTGTGATGTATTTTTAATAAAATGAGTAAGTTTAATAAAGTTAAGTGAACCAGTTCAATTTGCTAGTAATCTGTAAGGTTTTTGCATCCATGTTGATAAGTTGGTCTGTAGGTTTTTAAATTTTACATACTCCTTCCCAGGTTTTGGTATCAAGTAAATATTAATCACTGCAAAAAAAGCTGAAAAATATTATTTTTTTAATGCAGGATCTTGGTGTGATTCTGGAATCATTTGTTCCTTGAGAGTTTGGTAGAATTCCCTAGGGAAGCTATCTGTGGGATCAGGACTTTCCTTAGCAATTTGGTTCTCCTGATGTTCTGAAAGGAGTCGGGTTTTATTTCTCAGGCTTGTTTTGGTAAGTTGTTTTGAGATGGACTCTTCTTGTCAGGTGTGATTGTCATGAAGTTGAGGGTGCCTCCTTATTTGCTGAGGATCTGTGTCACTGTGTCTATGCCATACCTTCCTCGGTAAGGATGACTCGTTTGTGCCCGTCATTCTTCACCAGTCTCGACAAGAGCTATCAATTTAATTAGCTTCTTCAAAGAGCCAACTTGTAGTTTGTTAATCCTCTCTGCGTCATTGATGTTTTCCGATTTCAATTAATCGTGCATCTTATCTTAATTACATTCTCCATCCTACATATTTTGTTCTTTTTTAGCTTCTTAACGTACAATGTTCGGTCGATTTTTTTCTTACATATTCACGTAAGCCTTCTATTTCCTTCTAAGAACTGCTTTAATCTCGATTTTCCCCTGTTTGATTCTAAGTGCTTCCTAGTTTCAACTTTGATTTATCCTTGGACTCCAAGGTTAATTAGAAGTTCTTTATTCCAGGACATGTGTGGGATTTCCAGTTTCGTCGTTGGGTTCTAACTCTGTCATATTAAAGTCAGAGGATGCATGCTGTTGATTTCAAGGCTTTGCATTTTACCCATCACTTCTCTTTGGCTTAGTATGTCGGAAGTATTCCCACACACTTAACTAGGACGAGTCTGCTGCACTCATGGGTTACAGCACTGCCTCTGTGCTGTGGGTAGAGACATTTTATGACATGCTGCATTTTATATCCTGGCTTATTGTTGTCTACTGCTTGTTATAGCAATTACTGAGAAAGTCGTGCTTAAAAATATCCCTGTTATGATTATGGTGTATCTGTTGCTTGCATGGTTCTGCCTTGAGTCTGGATTATCAAGTGCACACATATTTTAAGTTTTATAGCTTCCTGGTAATAGCAAACTTTTATTATTAAGAATAGGCTTCTTTGTGTTATAGAGATTGTTTTTACCTTTTAAAAAGAAAAGTCTATTTTTCTTGGCAGTAATTAAGGAACCTGCTTTCTTCTGGTTTAGAGTTTGCCCAATATGTTTGTATCCATGCTTCTACTTAGAGCCTTTGTGTGCCTCTTGCGGATCACAGAGTCAGATTTGCGGTCCTTACTCAACTCTGACAACCCAATCTTCATCTCTCAGTCTAAGCAGAGTCCAGCTACCTCAAAGTAAATGAACATCTGTCTTCAACTTGACCTCTGTCTCTCCTTTCTCCCAGCCTC